ACCCAGCCAATGCCTTTGGCACCAGTTACAGTCATGCTGGCTCAACAAATCTTGAAATCTTTTCTGAACTTTGCCAGAGCACCCAAAAGAGGTGAAAAGTGGCACTGTCACCCCTCCCTGAGGACATGGGGTGGTGGGGAAAGTACCATAACTCTGGTCTTCTTCCAGCTGGATGTTGAGACTGTATCTCCTACTTCTCATTCCAGTGACTGGGCTTTGATGCCCTGAAGTAGGTAGGCATCAACCTCCAACTTGTCGCTTGTCCATGCTTCAAAGCATAAACGAGCCCCACACCACCTTTCGGAGGGAGAACACCAGGTCCTGGATACTTTACAAACAAGCCAAGTGGGTTTTAGGACCACCTCTCTCCAAAACCCTTTGTACTGGCAGCCCTGGGAGGTTCCTGTCTAAGTCTATGGTGATGGGACTGGGATTTGAAGTGCCTGTTTACTGCAGAGGCTTTGTGGAGAGCCTAGTGGCTCAGACCAGCAGCTCTGGCTGCCACTGCATGGCCAGAGCAACTTCTGCCCCTAAACATCTGCATCCTCGGTAACACCTCTGGGACAGTTGGGCAAACAGGCTGAAATGGCTCTGGTTCAAATTAGCCACACAGGGACCACAAACAAGAGGCATCAAAATGTCCTTCCTTGTCCATCCAGACAAGATGGAAAGGAGACAGAATGGCTGGGAAATAGTTTGTACCAGCATAACTAATGATTTTCCCATTAAAAATACAACCCAGGAGCAATTAATTATTTTTCAGGGTAGTGTCTAGTCTTTGTATTTACTTACTTAGGGCCATGCAAACTGTCCATAAGCTCATGCAGAGGTGGGAGGGAGATCCATTTCAGGTGTCCGATACAGATTTACTAATAACCCCTCTCTGAACATCAACACCTACTTCCAGCCCACCAGCAACAGACCCCAGCCTCTCCACTGGCATTTGTCCACCAAATGCCAGTCCTCTAAAGGAGAACGCAGCTTGAAAGAGGTGGGTGTCAGCCATCTGTCTGCCAGGGGTTCATCTGGCTGAATACAAACAGGGAAATAATTTGAGTCCAGGAGGAGAATGGAGGAAACCTAAGAATTTACATCAGTGTCTGAAAAGTGATGAGGGACTCTTTGTTAGGAAAACAACAGACCAGTCAGTCCAGGGTAAGGCTGCAGATCTGGGACTGAAAGAGGACAGGTAGACGAAATATTCACCACCCAGATAGGGAAACTGGACCCCACACAGAAAGCAGATCTTCCCTGGAATCAATCAGATGTGGTTATGCCTGACAGGAGCTGATGTTTCCAATAATCTTTTTTTTCTTTCTGCATTAGATTATTTGCTGCTTTTCCTTCTCTGGACTTGCTCTGTATTTTGTTTTAGTTGCGTGACTTTTGCCATTATACAAACTTAATTTTTTTTTTTTTTTTTTTTGTCTTATGCTTAGCAGATTGTGCTTTACTGGGACAACAGAACTCCAAACTGATGAAACAGGCAAGAACATGAAAATGAGGACAAGGGAAACCCCATGGTGTTCATTTCAAGCCCTGTCACCAGAGAGACTCTGCTAAAAAGTGACCTAGAACTGGAGGTTAGGACCAAACTGTGGTTTCCATATTTATAAAGGAAAAGCAGGTGCCAAGATCTTGGCACCTATTAACTGGTTTTCCATTGCCTTTTTGGGTGTGGTTAAAATTTCTACCATTAAAAGTGGTCTTTATTTGGAGGTGGTGGTGGGGAGAAGTCTCTCTCTTTATTTTTAACAACACCAAGCCAAAAATCCCAAACCTGCTCCTTGTCCCCTTCATTATCCAAACTTGAAACAGTTACCTCTCTCTCTCTCTCCTCAAAGTGAACATATATATTCTATGCACTCTGAAATGTCAAAATAATCAGAGGCCAATTTTTAAGTACTAAAAACCAGTTTTACAGGTATGCTATGTTCTACTGAAGGGGGAAAAAAAACAAGTATTAGCCTAAGAAAATGCTTCAGAGAATTCAGCAAGAGCGTAGCAGGGCTGGAGCCCCTCATGTGCCCTACTTAGTCTTTTCTTCACTGTGGTATCACTCAGTGCTTTCGTTTTCTGACTCACTGCACTTTTTGTGTTCTCCATTATTTAAGTTAATGCTCCCTTACCAGCCCAATTCCTTCCACAAAAGTAAATACAAGAATAACCTTGTGGAACTAGCACATTGTGGTGGTGTTGCCAACTATAAAAAGTTTACATAAACCTTACACATACGAACAGAGCACTACTTCTGTGGAGCTAAATCATTTTTATCAGATGTACCAATACAGCTGGAAACAATAAGCTTTTGAGCATACAGGTCCCTCTCGGATTTAATATGTCACTGAAACTTTGGTGGCATTTGCTACCAAGATATACTTCACATATTTGTTAGCAATACCTTTTCCCTCCTCCTGGGCCTGTCCACACTCTCTTCTAGTGTTTTCTGTGTCAGGCTTATAGTCGCAGAGCTCGATTCCGGGCCAGAGCTGTGGTACTGCACATGAATGAACATTATTAACAAGCAATAAGCAGTGCAGGTGTTCATGGGTGAAAAGCTGTTGCAATTTGACTGACCTGGTGGTGTGTTGCACTGGAACAAGCACAAATCAATTCTAACACGTTTCAGCTGCACAGAAAAAACACCCCAAAACACCAGACAAGTTGTTTTCTTTTCACTGACTCTCATACAAATCCTTCTGTCAAGAACTTAAAACCATACTTGTAGCCTTTTTGTAAGCAGTCCTTGTTAACCAAGTTTCAAACATGAAAGTGCAGTAAAAATTGAACAAGTAGACAGGACAGAAAAGTTGAATGAGCATTGGCTCTTCTTATTTTAATGAAGAAATATTTCAAGTTAATATCAGTGCATATTTAGAAATAGCATGTGATACTCCCAACGTCAAATACATCAGCAAATTACAGTTTCAAAACTTTATAAATTAATGGTGAGAAAAAAATAATTAAGATTAATATAGGGAACAAGGTTCAAAATAAACATCCTGTGTGTTTGTTGCACTGCGTCAATTATATGCCTGGTACTTAAACAGCAGAGAGATTCAATATTTCATGGTAATTAGGCTCTCCAAAATAGCAGTTATTTTTCTACAAATGAATTAAGCAGTTTGCCTTTATTTTTGATGTATAATTAAACGTTATTCTTAGGTGTTACAAAGAAATTTAGTCATGTCAGAGTAAAATTTCATTCCATGACTGAAAATCCCACTAACATAGGAACACCACCTTCTGGTTAGACCCAGTGCAAACAGTCAGCTGAGAATAGGAAGAACTACATGTGAGCACATTTGGCTGTTCCATAAAATAGCTTTTTTTTCTTTTGTTCATTTTCTTTTTTTTTTTTTTTTTTCTGGTTTCACAGCCTCATAACAATACTGTTTTTCTACACTGTAGCCAGTCATTGTTTTTAAAATGGTTCATCAACATATCCTGAATCAATCACTGATATAAATAACTCCAGTGAAAAAATCCATTATGGAAAGACACAGAACTGCAAACTGAAAGTTGTACTGAATGATTTTAAGGTGGAACTGTAATTATTCTATAAAGTTCTGTAAAAAAAACCCACACACGGTAAAAGCAGTATCTTTAATTAACTGGCAATAGTGGGGAATCTGAAAAACTGAGTTATAATTTTAAGAGACATTTAACTCACAATGCAAGACAAATCGCACCGAAGCTAAAAAGAGGTGCACATTTAAAGCTTGCAAGTATGATATAAAAATATTCTCTGGTTCTTTCCTTTTGATACAGGGAGTCCAATTCCCTAATGGAAGAAGATAAAGTACATCCTCTTTCCTACCCCATCACTGTACATATAGACTATTCCCCTGATATCAGGAAACGGCACTTCCCCAACAAAAATACCAGCCATGAGAATCGCACTTTCTGGTAGTAAGGGTTCGTTGATTTTGCTTTTTAAAAATATACTTTCAAGCAGGTGAAATACTGATAGGATATGCATTTCTTTCACTACTAGTCTAGTGTGCAAATCACATACAGCAACCCTGTAACTTCAATTCAACTGCAGTCTGCATCGCCTAGAATGATTTGAGAATCTGTTGTGGTATTACAGCACAGAGATGACTGCCAGATTATGAAACATCAGGGTCAATCGGATTAGTAGGAAAAGGCACACGCTTCAGATTTAGCAGGAACATCTGAAGGTTCCTCATTACCATACCCTTACTCTCCTGAACTTACAGCAATTCTGTGCATTACCCAAATGACAAGAGTTTGCTTCCAGAAAATCGTGAGGTAACAGGAAACTTCTGCTTATGGCACATACACACGAAAGGTCTGTGAGCTCAGCTGAAACTCTCGAGGCGCCAGGGATAACGCAGACACAAGGTAGGCTACAGTCTGGTTAGGCCAGAAACAAAACCTTAACATTTCCTTATCCTGCATACATTCCTTTTATGCACAAGTACAGGGGGCGCAAAATAAACTGTCCCTAATACTGCAATATAATCAAAATCATGCACTAGATAAACAGAGCTTCTTCCCCATGAACAGTGGCTCTCAGGAACATTTTATTCTGCTTCAGGTAACATCTGATGATTTCCCATAGTCCCTTTTAAAGAACACAGTATTTAGCTAAAACTATAAAGCAAAATTTAAAAAAGAAAAAAATAATAATTATAGTTGCAATACAGCTGGGATAGATGCAATTGAGCTGCTGCAATGCACCAAAGAGTAACAAAAATTCGACATGAATATCAGAAGAATAAATATATACCCTAAATTAATCTCTGTTAATACATTCACAGGTCCACTTAAGACATCCTTATGCATAACTCATACTTAGTCAAACCTGCAGATAGAGATGGATGTTAATTCATGGGGAAAACAATTTATCATATGACTCAGTTTATCTGTCATCATTCCAGCAAAAATCAGTAGCAAATTTGAAAATCTACATTTATTTTCCCCAGACCAACCACACAGAGGCTTAAGTCACAAATTCTGTTATTTCCAATGTTGATCAATAAGGCTTTATTTACATTTCTTTTTTTACTATAAAGTCAGGAAAATGTTTGGTGCAATGTGCAAGAAAAGACTGCACATTTCACTGATTGGAGACTAACATCTGCTTATGGTTTAATGCTAACCCACAGGCAGCCAATTAAAGTCCCATATATCCATGTTTTTACATAAAGTTTTCTTCCAGATTCTGTCAGAAGCATACTAGCAGTCAGGCCACCTAAAAACAGCAAAGATGGCAAAGTTTTCTTGAGGCTTAGTTTGGAATGAACACTTTTTCCAGGGAACTTATTTCTTCTTTTAGAATCCTTCGCATCATAAAACTCTATTAGTAACCTACAAGCAGACAAAGGGAGATGGTCAAAGTTATGCATTAGCGTCACAAGTCTTAAGCAACTTACTTTCATCAAATAACTGCTTCTAATCACACAGGAGATCAGGTTCGTGACCATCCGAGGAACCTGAACACGCATAAGTCTGTGCAACCTGATGAGATGCATCCCAGAGCCCTGAGGGAATTGCCTGATGTAGTTGCCAAGCCACTGTCCATGATATTTAAAAAGTCATGGCAGTCTGGTGAAGTCATTGGGGACTGGAAAATGGGAAACATTGCACCCATTTTTAAAAAGGGTAGAAAGGAGGATCCTGGGAATGACCGGCCTGTCAGCCTCACCTCTGTGCCTGGGAAGATCACGGAAGAGATCCTCCTAGAATCTATGCTAAGGTACACAGAGAACAGGGAGGTGATTTGGGACAGCCAGCATGGCTTCACCAAGGGCAACTCCTGCCTGACCAACCTAGTGGTCTTTTATGATGGAGTGTCTACATCAGTGCACAAGGGAAGAGCTACAGATGTCATCTATCTAGACTGCTGTAAGGCCTCTGACACAGTCCCTCACAATATCCTTCTCTCTCAATTGGAGAGATACGGATTTGATGGATGTACTGTTCAGTGGATAAGGAATTGGCTGGATGGTTGCATCCAGAGGGTAGTGGTCAACAGCTCAATGTCCAGATGGAGACTGGTGACAATTGGAGTCCCTCAGGGGTCCATACTGGGACCCGTACTGTTTAACATCTTCATCAATGACATAGATAGTGGAATCAAGAGCACCCTCAGCAAGTTCGCAGATGACACCAAGCTGAGTGGTGCAACTGATACACCTGAAGGACCTGGACAAGGTCGAGAAGTGGGCCTGTATGAACCTCATGAGGTTCAACAAGGCCAAGTGCAAGGTACTGCACCCAGGTCAGGGCAATCCCTGGTATCAATGCAGGCTGGGGGATGAAGCGATTAGGAGCAGCCCTGCAGAGAAGGACTTGAGGGTACTGGTGGATGAAAAGCTCAATGTGAGCTGGCAATGTGCACTTGCAGCCCAGAAGGCCAACCGTATCCTGGACTGCATTAGAAGAAGTGTGGCCAGCAGGTTGAGGGAGGGGATTCTGCCCCTCTACTCTGCCCTGGTGAGACCCCACCTGCAGTACTGCATCCAGCTCTGGAGCCCTCAGCACAAGAACAACATGGACTTGCTGGAGTGGGTCCAGAGGAGGGTCACAGAAATTATCAGAGGGCTGGAATACCTCTCCTGTGAAGAGAGGCTGAGAGAGTTGGGGTTGTTCAGCCTGGAGAAGAGAAGGCATCAGGGAAACCTTATTGAGGCCTTTCAATACTTAATGGGGGCCTATAAGAAAGATGGAGACAATCTTTTTAATAGGGTCTGTAATGACAGGAGAAGGGGTAATGATTTTAAGTTAGAAGGGAGATTTAGACTAAATATAAGGAGGAAATTTTTTACAACAGTGGTGAAACACTGGAATGGGTTTCCCAGAGAGGTGGTAGAAGCCCCACACCTAGGAACATTCAAGGTCAGGCTGGACGGGGCTCTGAGCAACCTGGTCTAGTGGAAGGTGTCCCTGCTCACTGCAGGGGGTCTTGGACTAGTTGATCTTTAAAGATCCCTTCCAACCCAAACCATTCTATGATTCTAAGACCTGCCCCTTTCTAACTAACACTAATTATGAGGCTAGAATCAAACTCCTTTTGCTTTCATGCCTACCTCGGGCATCTTACATTCCTGGCTGCACATGACAGCTTCAGGATAAATGGAGAGTATTCAGATGAATAAGAGTCTTGCCTGAAACACAGATTCACAGCTCTTCAGTCTAAGGAAGGTCTAAAACACAGGAACCCCAGCCTCCTGAGCAAAAGATTTAACTACAGGGGTATTATACAAAATATGCACAGGAGTACCAACACCACCTCTCTTCAGAAAGCCCTACAGTTTGCACTGCTGGTAACACAGAAATCATGGGTACATCTGTTAATATAAAAGAAAGAAGGCAGCTTCCTTAAACAGAAAGTTTTCTACATATTGCTACTCACTTATCCTTTATTTCAAAACGTTCATGAAGCCACCTTCTCATATACATCTGCTCTTCTGGAATGTCCTTCAGTTCAATTCGATCAATGAAAACATGAACTCTTGGGCATTCCTTGCAAAGAAACTCTAAAAAGAGAGCAAAACAACAGGACTGAGTTATGGAGACACTGTAGAGGATTTGTCTAAAATATGCTGAAAATCTGACCTCATACCTTTAAGTGCCTTGGAAACCTAACTTCAGTTTTCAAAACCCTCCCTTCTTTACGTTCAGATCCTGAGCACTTAAAAGCCATAGAGCCTACATGCTTTTGAAAAGGTGTTTCATTATCATGTGCAGTGTGGAAACACTGTCCTAAGATGTATCCTGCTTACTGTAAAATGCTGTGCTTGAAAATCTTACCACTTCTACTCATTCTGTAGTGTGGGATGCAATAACTTCTGATGTCATCAAGTTATCCAGCCTGCAGTTTTGATTAAAGTTATTAATCCTCTTGTCCTTTTTAAAAATCTAGATTTTGTTTGCTCCTGGATGACAAAATCTGAATTACAGTGATTTCCCAAAGCATCTCCAGGAGGAATTGGCCTTCAGTTTAAGTAATAACCTATAATTAAATGTATAAAAGTGCAAAAGACTCAGAAAAAAAAAATGTTGCTTTCCATTTTGCATCCCTTCATTTTTATTCTGTCACAGAGTGTTACAAAGCTCAAGACAGCCCTATTGCAATTCCCCCTCCCCCATTTCCTCAATTTGCCCCTAGAAAAATTTAGCAAGCAAACATTAAGCTAGCTGCAAGCAAAACTCCATTAATCAAATAGCCTTGTGGGATTTCTTACAACTAACAAGCGGTGAAGATACTGCATATGGAATAAAAAACCCACCAGTATTTGTGTATTAGTAATCATCTGCATTTATTAGTAGCAAAGGGTACAGCAGTAATCACAGCATCCCTGTACAAAGAGAAGCATGATGTGAGGATGGAAGTCCTTGGGATCTGGACAATCTTGGTATTTTAAAAAGGGACCAGAAGCATCTTCCTACAATATCAACAGGCAACAAATTTAACACAGACTGGGTGGTCCTTTTAGGTTGTTGACATTTTTTGTACAACAGTGCAGATGTACAGAAGACTGTGACCCATAACTGTTACGGGTATCTTGAGGAATGACTGTGCAAAATAATTGTCACTGCATGTACATCTTTATTACCATCTGCCAAAGCAGATATCCCCCTATTTGTTTTTCTTCTTTACAGGATTATTTATTTTGAAGGACTCTGTTGTAAAAGCAGTCCTTATCATATAGAAATTGCCTTAAAGAATTTTAAAAGGCTGTTCATGCAAATACGTTTGCGTGCTTCTAGAGGGGGAGGAAAGCAGAAGAGATAAAGAGATCAGTAAAGTCTTACAGCATTTTGATGCAGAAATTTGTAAGGTGCTGTGTGCAGTTTTGTCTAGTCCTCAGGCAGAGAGAGCCCTTCACTGAACTGCACTGTACTGTAAAGGGAGCAACATGGCCCATGCACCATCAACTGAAGAAATGGCAGAGGGCTCTAACCAGAAACAAGTCCACCTCTTGGCCATGGAGTAGCAAACACAACTGTCACTAAAAAGTTTCTGGTAAAACCGTCTCCTAGCTACAGCTATTAGATAGCAGGCAAGTTAAGTACTTGGAGGTGCAGAATGATGGTAGGTATAGATACTATCTTCAGGTTTATGTGCAATGTTTTTACTAACCACAAAGAAATCAGTGTTCGTGCATCTGAGAGCAGATTTTTCCTCTTGCTTTTAATGGGAAGAAAGGATTTTCCAGGTTTGTTTCTCTGAGGATACTATCCAGGCCACCACATGAAGGTCATTCACTATGTGAGCACCTAAAAGCATACTATTAATATTTTAAAATAACAGACTTATTCTCCATGTCTCAAATGCTTATAATGCTCACTGATGTTTAAATCCTCTTTTTGAGTGGCATTATCTATTAAGAGGAACATTCTAAAAATATGCAAAACTGTACTCTAGAAAACAAATGCCTGGAAGCCAGATGATACAGTCTTTTTTGTACTAGAGTTCTAAAAAAAGCATCTATGCTATGCATATTCAACGAGGGCTGATGATCTAGCTTTAAGAGTTATTGAAAACATTCTGTGCATTGTAGAGTGTGTTTCTTTTGCTTCATAGCTCATAGGTTGTTCTGTACAGGTACAAACAGTTCTTTCCTGATATTATTTATAATCTCAGTTATAAATTATTAAGGAAAATCATAAAACAAGAAAAATTCTAAGTTAGATGAGACAGCATTGTTAATAGCTACATGGTATTTTTAAAATTAATGTTATGCTGCTTAAAAAAAATAGATATTTGGTCATTTAAAGATAGCAGAGTACATTATCAATAATAAGCTCTAGTTAACAAAACAGGAATAAGACACAGATTTTAAAGTCACTTTCCCCAACCAAAGCTGAAATGTAGCCACTCTCCAAATCTGTTTAGAAAACAAAAAACCATCCATGAATATCTAAGCATTGCTGCTGGTTTTCTACCTTACACTCAAGTTTCAATACAAGTTGATTCTTATTACTTCCCACGCTTTAGCCTTCTTCAACCAGTCTACACTGAGTTCCCATATGTGAAGATCCTAAAACTTGCACAATTTCCCAGCTTTGTAAATCCCAGTGCTGTTCTCCACAGCCTACCCTCCCTTGCAATTTAAGACACAGCCTCACTGAGGCTGTGTGATCTGCAACCGCAGGTGCTCCCCTAAAGGGGATCACGATTCCCACTCACTGATTCAAAGACATTTTATCCAAAGCATGATCATCCAGTACATCTGCAGGTGACACTAATGCATGCAATCAAGCTATTCAGGGAATTTGACTTATCTTTAATTATCCAGTTCATGTGAGGGTTTAATGCAACCAATTCAATTTTTTTAATTTTTTTTTTTTTACATGTACAATGTCACTGCAATCATATAAGAATACCACTAAATAGGTATATATTGAGAGGTTGTTTTTGAGAAGGAACAGCTGGACTTTATCACCACAATCTCTGAAGGTTTGTGGTGGTCCCATGACCCTTAATTTCACATTAGTTTAACTCTCAAAAGGCTTATGTAATTAAGCCAAGAAACAAAATCTTATTGAAGCAATTTATTATGTGCAAATTACATCCACCTTCAGGGACATTAGCCCTTAAGGCCAACATCTGATGGGCTTTTCAGATCCTTAAACTTGCCAGAATTTGTTATAATTAACAGCAGGAACAAGCAAGCCTGAACTTTTCTTCACTAAGACAAAATATAAGTGCAAATCACGCATTATAATCAAACATTATATTGGGGACAGCGTTAGTCAATCAAGAACCAAGTATGATTTGGGTTAAATGAACACAAACAACTTGTGTGGGAGCCAAGTGGACTGACTGGCATGTGGGAGATAATTTCCTAATAAAACTTTCCATCTGGCTAAATGACAGATACAAGTGCAGAACATTTATTAATGCTTCTAGTGATCAACCACAGCAGAAGGAAGAAATTAAAAATGATAATGTGGATTGAGCATTTTTGTTCTTAAACTGTGACACTGTTTTTAAACTGTGGCCCTCCTCCTGTGGGACAGGATTCACACTAACACAGGACTGAAGGATTCAGTGCAGAATTAGGATTAATGAACGGGGTGCAACAGCCTCCATGAAAGGAATCCGATCCACAGAGTTTGTAATTGCAAACGAATGTTTTGGGATGGTGTTTTGCTCACTGGGGCTTCCACAAAATTCCACCAGTTTTCAACTCCTCACCTTCAAAACCCAATTAATTCTGTTTTGAATTATCAGTATTACCAGGGAAAGCGAGGGAAAAAGCATAGACATACCTGTAACTGAGAAGGGACATACAAATGGCCTCAGACCACCTTCCCCTTAATGCTACCACAGAAGTTCATTCCACTACTCCAAATTATTTGCCTTGCCCCTTAAGGAAGTTGTGACAGGGGCATTACACTTAAACAGATATTCCTATTTTCAATTACTAATGAAGTCTATTTTTATATGCACTTTAAATATCATAGCAATAAAGTAGCTCAGATTTCAACCTCCCACATAGTCTCTTTTACTGCATTCATTTCAGCACTGTAGAGAGAGTCTAACACACAAACACACAACTAAAGAAACAATGTAATAGGGGGGGGAACAAAAAGGCTAAGTATCAAAACACCTTAAAAGAAGCATTCCAAAAGGAGGCAGCCTAGAGGCTGTTAAAAAAAACCCTACATACCAAACCCCAGAAAAAACCTGTATTGGAAACCCAGGTAAAATATGTGTAACACTGCAAAAGAAAAAACCTAGGTGGGTCTGAAACCCACCTGCGTGCCTTGATGGGAAAATTAGGGAGGCTACCTTCTCCTCTTTGAGGAACGGAAAGCTTGTCCAAATAAGGAAAAACCACAAAACTGCTCATGCCAAATATAAATATAAAATTAAAAGGACTAAAAAGGAACTTGAAAAATGCAAAGGATGCTCTAACAATTTTAACTTTTTTGAGTATCTCAAAAGCAGTAAACCAGCTAAGGCATTGGTGGGACTGCTGGACGACAAAAGTGTGAAGAGCAGTACTCATGGTAAAGTATAAACCCAGGCAAGAGAAGCTCAAATACTTGTTTGCATTATTCTTTCTTGCTGAAAATGTTTGATTCCTACACCCACTGCATTCTTTGTATCAGATTCCTCAAAGGAACTAGATCAATAAGTAAACAGACAGAAAGTATTAGACTAAATAAACAAGTTAGATGTCCTGAAGTCACCAAGACCAGAGAGCATTCATCCAAGAGCTCTCAAATGTGGAATTTTAAAACAAAGATGTGTAAGGTACCATCAAAAACAGCCACTGTGCCAGAAAAACAGGGAGTTCCCCTTCTACAAACAAGGGCTTTGGAGATGATGCTGGGAAATACAAACCAGAGTCTTAGATCCATAGGTAAGACAGCAGGGTCCATAGTAAGATCACTAAACACAGAGATAATCACCTTCTGTTGGAAAAGAGCTGGTGTGGATTCTGTAAAAGGAAATCCTGTCTCACCAATTTGCTGGATTTCTACTACAACAGTGTCAAGGAGCAGGTGGATAAAGGGGATT